TATCTATCTATCTATCTATCTATCTATCTATCTATCTATCTATCTATCTATCTATCTATCTATCATCTACCTACCTACCTAATCTATCTAATCTATCATGAATGACCAGTCCAAAGTCATCTAGATAGCTTCCCTGGTTGAAAATGACATAAATGCAGGTTTCTTTGATTCTAGTTGACTATTATGTCATTATCTATCCTATAGAAATATACTACAGCATTAGCAATTTAAGCCAGGTTTGTGTCCTTGCTATCTGCAATATGATATGACTGTTGGTTTTTTCTGGTATAAACTTCTAAATCTTATTTTTAAATGAACTTTCAACCTTAGGACATGAGTCAATCGCAACTCATATAAGTCCACAAACAAAATTCAGATAATTAAATCAGTCTAACAACAACAAAGGGTGAGATTTTCTATGAAGCATCCTTATTATTACAAACTTAATTATTTTTGCATTTTTATTCTAACAGATATTTAAGAACACATCCATAAAAATAAGATATATTTAAATTCGGTGCAAAACTGAACAAGAATTTTCAAAATAATGCCCATACTTCTTATAGCTATTGTAACATTTCAAGAATGGATGTAGGAAGATACTCAGAATTTATTTATTCTACGTTAACACCATAGCTAATAATTCTTGAGTAACGGCTTACAAATCAAAGAAAAAAAAACATCTTGCCTGATCCAAAGCCAAGATTATCAAGATGCATTTAGAAGAGGCCGCTATCGGAAAAGTAGCTTTACACTTGAGCAAACGACAGGCAAGAACCAAAGTCAAAATAAAAACATGAAGAAATGGGGGAGGGAGAGGGATGTTGGAAGGGCAGAAGATAAAACTTCTAATCTAGACGTTTGTCAAAATCTAATCCCAGACACGGAGAAACCCAAAAATCAACTGCAATAAATTGGTAAACAAATCCTCCTGTTCGCTTCATTTGTTGGGGTCACGTATAGTATAGTGAATCCCCACAATACATTTCCCCGAGACACACATAAGCCAACATCACCATGCCTTCGCCCCCCAGCGAAGGGATGCAAGGGAAGTCCCCCCCCCCTTGTTTTTACTCCATTCGTCCTTAACCGGGACTGGACCCTCTTCCCGCCCTTTTCAGCCACGGCCCCTTATTGGGAGTTGTGGGGGGAGGAAGGTGACATGCAATTCTGCCTGAGCTTTCGGCCTCCCCCACCATACGAGGGGCTGGAGGTGACATTCCCAAACCCCTCAGTGCAGCCATCTTGGCCGCTCACCTCATAGAAGGCCTGGACCATCTCCACCAGCACCCACTGTTGCCCCATAGGCTCCGCCGCCATCGCCCTCAGTTCCTTCCGGGTAGGAGGCGGAGGTAACGTCGCCAAGCGTGAATGGGAGGCGGAGGGGAGGAACCGTGACGTAGAGCGCGCGACAGCAGGCAGGGGACGGTTAGAGCAGGTCTTGCCGGCTTTTTCCCCCCCCTTAAATCAGCGGGAAAGGAGCGAGGCGGAGGTTCTCGCGCGTGAAAATTGATGGTGTCTCAGTCTTACGTGCATGGAACAGGGCGGATGTCGATGCCCAATAATAAGGTTTCCTTGGATTAAACATGTCTAGGTCGCGGTGGTGAGGATATGAAATGCTCTTTTTTTCTGACGAAGGAGACGCGATTTTTCCTTTCCTTGGACCGAAAAACGGAGCAACGAGGCTTGCTTCCCGCGGATAGCGCTGATGGTCTTGTACATTCGACTTACAACAGCTCATTTAGTGACTGTTCAGAGTGACAACGGCACTGAAAAAGAGAGACTTAATGACCGTTTTTCACAGTTGCAACCTTTTGTTAGCATCCCCCGTGATCATGTGATCAAAATTCAGATGCTTGGCCACTGGTTCATACTTACGACCGTTGCTGCGTGATTACTTTTTGCAACCTTCTGACAAGCAAAGTCAGTGGAGAAACGAGATTCACTTAACAACCAGGGTACTAATCAACTGCAATGATTCACTTGACAGCTGTGGCAAGCAAGGTCGTAAATTAGGGCAAAACTCACTTAAATGTCTCACTTAGCAACATAAATTGTGGGCTCAAATGTGGTAGTAAGTTGAGGGCTATCTCTACTCTGCTCTAATGGGATTTCCCAGATTCTCCTCCCCAGTCAACACTTAAGTCAACAGCCCAGAGTTGTTGGGAACTGGTATGCACGTTTAATTAAATACCTTTGTATGTGGCCTAGCAATGTACAGGCAGGTGTCTCCAAAAAATTAAACCATTTGAAAAGTATGTCAATCTCAGATAAAGATCATGATGTCCTACATAGAAGTTGGGATGTTTCCCAAGTTTTCTCCAAATGATTTAGCTTGACTGGATGGTTTTTTCTTTTAATAAATAAGAAAGTACTGATTTAAAGTGGTTCCGCCTGTAATCCTGTGCATCCTTAGTAAGCATCTTAAAACTGCAGAAAAAATGTAGGCATCCTTAGACCTGTATTATTTTCATTGATATAATCAAGACCAACTTAAATACCATAGTTAAGATGTCATCCTCATTTTTGGCATTGACTTTGATTTATAATTTTGTTAGTGCATGTTGCAACTGTTTTATCTAAACAGCAATGATAGGTTTTTTTTCTTTTAATATGAAAACTGAACGTGGCCTCATCAGTGTTTTGTCATTGATTCACCTATGCACCATTTCCATTGTCAGATCAGAGGTAAAATTTGGAAGCTTCAGCTGGTTCAAAGCATAATAGCAACTGCAGTCTTTGGGCCCCCTAGAGTAGCCCATATTATACCTCTGCTCCACAAGCTGCACTAGCTACTAGTCTGCTTCTGGATGCAGTTCAAGGTGTTGGTTAAGACCTATAAAGCACTTAATGGCATAAGTCCAGGTTATATGATGAATGACTCATCCCACTAGGACAAGCCTGCCTCACTTGTGCCAGCAGAGAGGGCTCCACTGTGGATCTTGTTGGTCAAAATTTTTTGACTATCGGGATCCAGAAGAAGAGCCTTCTCTGCTGTAGCACCTGCCCTTTGTAACTTCTTACCCTCCAAGGTGAGATCTGCCTCCTATTCTTCCATAAGACCCTGAAGATCTGATTCTGCTGGTTGGCCTGGGGACCCAATGGAGGTGGCTACTAGACTGATAGCAAACCCCATCTTCCCCCTCATTCCATGCTTCCCCATCCACCCACATTTATTCTCATATTGTTTTATCGTTGTTTTCTTTTTCATTGTTTAATCCATTGTTCCATTACCTTACTACTGTTACATTTTACATGTCATTGCACATTTTTTTTGTAAGCCGGCGAGAGTAACCCCATGGCGAGATAGATGGCAAATAAGTTTAACAAATAATAATAAATACACGGTAAATATAAAATATAAGTATGAATCTCATGCATAAAGTATTCAGCAATTTATGAGATACTCTCATTTCAGCCAGCCATAATAACACAAGATGTGTGTGGGAGGAGGGGCTGAAATAATGATGCATTTCAATTAGTGGCCATGGGCAAAACAAGTAGTGAAACAGGAATGCAGTTTTGTGGCTTCAGCACAGCCACACCCTTCCTTGCCTGGTTTTATAAGCAACAATTTAAATAAATCTGGTTATCATTAAAAATAATACCTTCAGAATGTTCACTTTCATCTGTTTAAAAGGAATAGTGCCAGAGCAGAAGGAAACTAAAGCTGCTTTGATCTACTTCTTGGAAAAAAAATCAATTGTGTTTGAATTGCATAGCCTAAGGTTCAGATATCCCTGCATCAAAACTGATTTCTACCCGAATAGCAAGAATGACAGTGGAGAGGGTGCATAAAATGGATGGCATAAATAACATGGGTGGGGAGTAAAGAGATCCTATTCCCATTCATCAATGCAGTAACTCACTTATACAGACACTGTATAATATTGCTATTCTCAAGCTGCAGTTTATCTGGGAACATATGACACACATTTTCCCTCCAGCAATCCTACTTATGATCTGTGATAAGTGTTCAGGATTGCACAGTGTTAGGAGTGCTTATTGGACTATATTTATGACATCATTCTTTGTTGTTCATCCTGTCCTCCCAAAAGATCAGTTTAAACGAGCATAAACAGAAAAGGCATTGTGTCAAGAATTGTCATTCTGTAGTAGGACTATATTCTGCCTAAATATTCCTGCTTTTCCATGCTATTGACATTGTCATTTTATAATTTTGAGACCACATTTCTCTAGATCAATCCCATATCCAAAATTCTTCCCCCAAGCAATCATAGTTTCTTTAACTTGTTCTTCTTCTCGTTTAATTTCTAATAAATATCCATACAATTTTTTAATCCTTTTCATCAGTTCCTGTCAACATCTTATCTAAGTCAGTCAGTTTATCATAGAAACCTTCTGTTTTAGAATCTTTATCATACCTTGAATGTATTTGCGCATATGAAAACCAATTCATCGTTATACCTTGTTCCTGTAGTTTTTGTATAGATTTAAGTTCACCCTTTTCATTCAATATTTCACCATATCTAACTGTTTGTTCCTTTTTGTATATTATAGGATAAGAAAATGCTTCAATAGTCGATAGCAAGACTGGAATTTTCAAATAACATTGTCTTTTAATCTTGTCCCAGTTTAACCACAGAGACTCCCGTATATAATGTCTTCTAAAATACCCCTGTGTTTTACTTCCTTTATACCATAGAAAAGCATGCCACCCAAACAACAGATCATGTCCTTCTAATATCAACAATCTAGTGTTTCTTAATGTTATCTATTCCTTAACCCACATCAAATTTGTAGCTTGATAATACAACTCCCAATTAGGCAAACCAAATCCTCCTCTTTTTCTAGCATCTTGCAAAAGTATTAACTTTATTCTCGCTTTCTTACCTTGCCATATATATTTCAACACAATTTTATTTAAATCTTCAAAGTAGTCTTTTCCAAGCCTAATTGGAATTGTTTGAAACAAATATAAAATTCTGGGTAATATATTCATCTTGATTGTTGATACTCCCCCTATTAATGACAGTTGTAAATTTTCCCATTTCGCCAAGTCTAGCGCTATCTGCTGTTTAAGTTTGATATAATTATTCTCTTTTAGTGTACTGCATCTTGCTGTCAAGTATATCCCCAAGTACTTAATCTTATTCGTAACCTGAATTTTCAATAGGTCTGCCAGTTCCTCCTTTTGTCTTGATAGCATATTCTTTGTCAAGATCTTTGTCTTATCTTTATTTATTTTCAAACCAGCCATCTGTTTCCTATATTCATAACTATGTTTATACTTGTACCTATTATCGTGTAGGCGATTGACAAATAAAATAAATGAAATAAATAAATAAAGCCACACCCACAAATTAGGCCATGCCCATAGAACCAGTTATTGGTCCCTGAGATTTAAAATTATGAGTTTGGTGGTCCCTGAGGTCCAAAAGGTTGGCGACCCCTGACTTAGACCGTCACGTATTTAGAATCCGAGCATCCTCTCTGACGATCAGTTAGGGGCACATCTGCATTGTTTCTACTATGGAGTCCTTTTAAACTATTTTAAAGCTGATTATGTGACTATCACCATCACTGCAGGCATTAGAATGCAGAGCATACTATGACTCAACCAGAACAACTCTTCCAGAGAGCTAATAAGAGAGTACAAAAAACCCTGTAATTTAATCAGTACCGCGACATTGTGAGTCCTGGAGCAACAGCTTTCAAGGTTTCTTGAAAAATTGTTTATTTATTACATTTAGAAACCACCCATCACCTTCCCAGAGTGACAAGTAAGACATAAAAACATAAATACAGGTAGTCCTCAACTTACAACCACAATTGAAACTATGCCCCTTCCGGTCCGCGGAAAAAAACTCTCCAAGGAACTGGTCCCTGGTGCCCAAAATGTTGGGGGACATTGATGTAAATTGATGTACTGGTTCCGCAGGTTACCAGTCATGTAGAAATTCAAAGGTCATAACACCTTGAATTTAACCCACAACCAAACCAGCACACAATGCGGAATTTTGTATCAGCTGAAGTTTCTGGATACTTTTTAAGGGTAGCCCCATGTAGAATGCATTATAATAGTCCAAAGGGATGATTATTAGGGCATGAATGACTGAGCAAAGAGTCTCCCTATCCAGGAAAAGGTGCAGCTGGTCAAGAATAGCAAAGGTGGGTGTACCACTTCCATTATGCTCCTGCCAGTAATAATCTAAAAGAATGACTGATACTCTTTCTGTTTCATGTCTGGGCCTGAACCCTGACAGAAAAGATCCAAATAATCCAGGATCCTCTGGCATTGCAACACCATACCCTCTCAATCACCTCTAAAAAGAGAAGGTGAGAAACTGGATGTAAATTGTCCAGAATGGTGCATTCTAGTGATGGCTTCTT